TCCCACTGAATTCGAATCCCAAAACCTTCTCGCTTGTTGAGCGATTTCGAAACTGGAATTCTCCGCACGAGATGGCAGGTGCGGCGTTGAGAGCCATCTGGGCCACCAATATCGGGACTTATTACCTAGTAATAAAATAGCATTAGTTGAAATACAGAAGTGAATTTTTTTTTTTTGCCTCAGGAGTTAAATAACCTGTAGGATTCAAAGTGAAGAATAACAACACCGGGTGTGGTGGCTCACGCCTGTAATCCCAGCACTTTGGGAGGGCAAGGCGGGCGGATCACTTGAGCTCAGGGGTTGGAGACCAGCCTGGGCAACATGAGGAAACCCAGTCTCTACAAAAAGGACAAAAATTAGCTGGGCGTGATGGCTCGAGCCTGTAGTCCCAGTTACATGGGAGGCTAAGGCAGGAGAATCACTTGAACCCAGGAAGCGGAGGTTGCAGTGAGCTGAGATAGTGCCACTGCACTCTGTCCTGGGCAACGGAGTGAGATTCCCTCTCAAAAACAAAAACAAACAAACAAATCTCTCAGAGGTAAAAATATTTGTGTATTTTTACAATCTTGGATAAAGTAAGTCGTTAATACATACAACAGTGAAAAAAGGCATTTTTTTTTTTTTTTTTAAAGATGGGGTTTTACCATGATGGCCAGGCTGGTCTTGAACTCCTGACCTCAGGTGATCCACCCACTTCAGCCTCCCAAAGTGCTAGGATTACAGGCATGAGCCACCGTGCCCCGCCAAAAAAGGCAATTTTTAATAAAAATGAAATATTAATGAAAAATAATTGCAAATTAAAATAATCTAAAAGATATTTAAATACATAGAATGTAAAACAGAAAGTTATCAATCACCTCGATATTGTTAATAGTCCTGTCCTGGCAAATGGCCTCATGCCTGGTGAGTGGGGAAAGGAGGTGGTTTAAGAACCCCTTCATGGTCAGTCTGACTACAAACCGGGCAGACTTTTGTTAAACATTCAGGGTTGGTTGTCACGGTGGGGGAGCGTGTGTAAGTTTTTAAAAACTGGAGTTTGTGGCAATAACGCGCATGGAAGTGGTTGTGGATGTGGGAGGGAACAGAGAGTTCTTGAGATTTGGGCAAGATGAGTTTGTTGTCAAGATAACATCAGCCTTCCTTTTGGGTAGGCCCAGTGTTAGTGTGACTTGTTCCTCCTGGGTGTATGAGAAATGTGTGCTGGGAAAATGGGCAGCCATGATGGGGTACTGCGGGCCACCTGCCAGGCTGCTGAGTCTGCCAAAAAGTTTCCCTTGGGGCTGGGCGTGGTGGCTCACACCTGTAATCTCAGCACTTTGGGAGGCCGTGGCAGGCGGATCATTTGAGGTCAGGAATTCAAGACCAGCCTGTCCAACATGGTGAAACCCCGTCTTTAAAAAAAAAAAGTTTCCCTTGGTTATGGCATCTGTAGCTTTCTAGTGTTCCTTGCAATGGATAATGGTGGCCTCTAATGGTAGTTTAGCTGCCTCCAGCAACCTGTGTATCAGTTTGCCATTTACTATGGGGGTCCCTTTGGTAGTAAGAAAACCTCTTTCCTGTGAGATTAAGGCTTGGGAGTGTAGAATGTGGTATGCATACTTAAGAGTCAGTGTAAAGATTGACCCTTTTTCCTTTTGCTAGGGTGAGTGCCCTGTTAAGGTCAACTAATTCTGCCTGTTAGTAGGTGGTATGGGGGGTTTTGGCAATGATGGTGTAATCTGCTGCAGGACATGGCTCTTTAAAACAGCTCCCATCTCCTGGAAGCTGGGAAAAATAATTAAAAAAGAAAAAAAAAGAGAGAAAAAAAGAGTAAAAAATAAATAAAATAAAATAAAAAATAAAACAGCTCCCATCAATGAACCATGTAGGTACCCTCTGTAAGGAGGTCTCTGATATGTGCTGGAAAGGGGAGGAAAGGGAATCTAAAAGGTCCAAGCAGGAGTAAAAGAGTTCAGAATCAGAGATACTTATAGGGAAGAGGGTGGCTGCGTTGAGAACTTTACACCTTTGGTAGGTGATTAGAGGGTTGTTTATGTAGGAGGTGTGTATTTGTTGTAAGTAAGATAGTGGGAGGGAAAGAAGGGAGCAATGGCTCATGAATTCTTGCAGGTTATGAGAAGATGCAACGGTAATGTGTTGATAGAGGGTAAGTTTTTGCACTTCTGAGGCCAGCAGCATGGCCGCACATAAGATCCTTAAACAGGGTGGCCAACCTTGGATGACTGAGTTGTTGTTTTAAGAGACATGGGAAAAAAAAAATCCAAAACTTGTCACTTCCTAATCATTTTACTATGTTTTACTATCTACATTCTAGAGGCTATTTGCAGGTAGTAGAGTTGCAAATAAATTTACTTAGAAGTAAATTTAAGCATGGATCACTACTGTGGAAATGGTATGTTTCTGACAGCTCTTCCCAACCCCAAGTTCAGTGACATGTTGACAGTTTGATATAGGCCACAATGGGAAGTTTTACACCAGAGAAACTGGCAAACACTATAAACCATAGCCTGATTTATTGTGTCTAAACTTAAGAATGTGATAGAGAATATGTGAATAATATAGATTATATTTGAAAGTGTGTGGTATATGTGGTAATTATACTGTGCATACCATGAAAATAACTGTGGAATAAAAATTAGTTATTTGTTGATGAAAAGTGAAACAGACACAATTCCTAACAGACAAAATATATGAACAAACATTTTACCAAAGAAGACATACAGCAGGCAAATAAACACATGAAAATGTTTAATATCATGAATCCTTAGGGAAATGCAATTAAAACTACTGCACACTTAATAAAAAGGTAAATTCTAAAAGATAGACCATACCAACTATTGGCAAGGATGTGGAAAACCTGGAATTCTCATACATTCCCAGTAGGTAAGCAAGAGCAAACAGCCATTTTAGATCAATTTGGCCATTTCTTAATAAGTCAAACATTCACTTATCCTGTGTCTCAGGCACTGCACAAGGGAAGAGAAAAACTATATTTATGAAGAATTGTACGTTTGTAGCAGCTTTATTTGCAATAGCCAAAACTAGATATAAACTAAATGCTCATAAACAAGTGGATAACAAATAGTATATCCATAAAAAATGTACCACTCAGCAATAAGAATGAAAAACTCATACAAGCTTCATTGAAGAATCTCAAAATAATTATGCATCATAAATGAAACCGGAGAAAAAAAGACATTTTATAAATCAAATCATAGAAAATACAAGCTAACCTATTATAAATGAAGGTATAAATCAATGGTTGCCTTGAGGGCCAGACAGGGGAGGGAGAGATTAGAAAAAGGCCTGAGGTATATCAGAGGTGACTGATGTGTTCATTGTAATAATGATGACATAATGTGTTTTTGACTAGGTTTGGTAACCTTACATTTACTCTATTTCTTTTCTGATGGCCTTGGAGGGACACCTTGCCTCAGTGGGCAGCAAATATTGGTAATCAATGAAACTGATTTGAATTTATTCACAGGATGATGGTAGGTTACAAAGCCACATTCCTGGAAGGACACCCCCCACCCCTTTTTTCTATGTTTGTTTTCCTGACCTATGCAGCAATGGCCTTGAGGTAGACATCCCAGAAGGGCTACTGGAATACACAAAACCTTTAGATTGTCATTTTTGACAGTCACCTCAGCTACAAAAAGTACACATGCCTGGAAATTCTGAGAATGTCTGTACTCACTGATCCTGCAAAATTACTAGAACATATTACAAGGGGCATATTCCATCCAGTTTGCTGCAGTCTCAATCACCCCCTACTAATCCACATAATTGGTTTCCATACTAATTACGGTTCCCCCATTTTACAGAGACAGTAGCCTACTAAACTGTTTTGGGGCACTTGGCTCCTTGGCAGGAGCTGGGGTAGACTGCCTCAACAGTGCTGGTCATTATGTAATAATCCCTGTGGACAAGAACAAAATTCATCTTGTTCTCAGAAGCACTGGAGTTTGTCACAACAATTTCCCACTTCCTCAGGGTGTCCTTTGAGCCCACAAAAAAATCCTGGCATCCAGTCCACAAATTAAGACCATAAAACCCTGCAGTATTTCCTAGAGAGCCTTGGGTAATAATTCAAATTCAAATCAGGTAAAAACTGGAAAGACAGCTGCATTTTTCTACTATACTGTTGTCTCTGAGGCAATACAAATAATGTGACAACTCCCTCTCCAAAGGTGTTTTCTCTGTAAAGCTGGCAGGGCCCAGTTCTGTTTTGGAATTACCTCAACAGTGAATAAAACACCAACATAAAGGTAGCTTAAATAATAATGCCTTTATTATTGTAAAAAACAAAGCAAGGTGACGTAAGCAGTTCCCAAGTTGGTGACTTAGAGGCTGGGAAAAAAAAAAAAACATGGAGGTGTCATATGAAACCAACATGTCCTAAAAAAGATAGTCCTTCTTGGCAAGTTGCCAACAACACTCATATTGGGTTCTCTGGCACAAAGCTGAGTCAAGTTATTCTAAATTCTCAGATAGGAAGACAAGACTATTCATGATTTCTTCTAGCAAATGGGGAGAAATAGAATTCTGCTTTTTTGAGTAGGTTAAGGTGATAAGTGATGCACACTTTGTGGACCTCATAGGTAGTAGACATGATGTGGCTTCTGTCTCAGAAACTGTCAGTGACATAAATGGCAGAAGCCATAAATGGCAGGTGAGAAAGTGTAACACTTTTTTTTTTTTTTCTTTTTTTTTTTTT